AACCTCATACAGTTGGCCTTGGCCCATCGATCCAGGCTGTCCAGGTCTCTCTGCAGACCCCTCCTCCCCTCGAGCAGATCAACACTACCACCCAGTTTGGTGCCATCTACAAATTTACTGAGGGCACACTCAATGCCCTCATCCAGGTCATTGATGGAGATATTAAACAAAACTGGCCCTAGAACTGAGCCCTGGGGGACACCGCTTGTGACCGGCCGCCAACTGGATTTAGCTCCATTCACCACGACTCTCTGGGCTCAGCCATCCAGCTAGTTTTTAACCCAGCGAAGAGTACACCCATCTAGGCCATGAACTGCCACCTTCTCCAGGAGAATGCTATGGGAGACTGTGTCGAAGGCTTTGCTGAAGTCCAGGTATACAACATCCACAGCCTTTCCTTCATCTACCAACAAAAATATGCATGGTTGAAGTTAAATTCCTGTAAAAATATTTTCTCTGGATACTTTCTGGAAATGAATTAGGGCATCAAAATTAATGCTAAACCAGGAATAATACATTTTCACTAGAACCATTATCTTAGTCCTTAACATACAGCACCTTTGTCAAAGATGCTTCGTGAAAATGAGAGTCCTGCACCTTGTAAGGAAGTTATCTTTTCTGAAACTACAAAGCATTCTATTTCTAGATAAGCTATTTTCAGACTACTGTTGACTTGTTGATGGCAGTACTTTTGACAGAACCTGAATCACTGCATACTAATTTTGGAGGATCACTAAGAAGAATAATTTTCACAGCACTCATCAGACAGAATTGATCTGCCATCTGAATCTCTGCCGTTACTGTGATTTGCTTGCAGATCTGCTTGAACTAAGAAATAGAAAGAACTGCTCTTCAGAATCACCAAAAATAAAACTTCTCTGATGGCGGCATTCCATGGGAGGTCATACTCCGAATTCAGTGTTACGTAAAAGTAGTGGCATCCATTTTTTACTCTGTAAGGCATTCTACTTGTGAAATCAGTTTTCCAAAAGAAACAAAGAAACAAAAGGCAGTCTTGAATCCATGACTGGATGCAGTTTGCAAAGACCAAGAAACTTCCAAGTGGAATAGACAGCCTGATAATGTTCCATAGGAATACATAAACTAGACTGAAAATTTCAAACAAGGGTGGATGGATTAGAGAAGAGTGGCACAGTCACACATTTAAGAATGCAGACTCCAATACTGTGCATTGCAATGCAAGATTCTGCTAAGCAACAAGCAGATCTGGAAATGAGTCTGTAGGCAACTCCACTTGAACAGCCACACCAGGTTCTGAAGCTTTGTTTGAAAATGCCACTTTAAATAAACCTTTTTCCAAATGTATCTTACATATATTCAAGACTATTGTTTCCAAGTGCTCAACACTGCAAATGAATTTTTCAATTCCTGTCAAAGGAACTGAAATTTCACCCTTATTACTAACAGAATTTGTGAATTTTAGTAGACGCTTAAAAGTATTGTAGCTTGAATCCTTCTCTCACCCTTTCAGCTTTTCAGACTAATGCAAATGGGCTTGGAAAAAAAGTCAGAGGGGGAACTGCAAGACAAAATGCTTCAAAAGGTACACTGCAGAGGAACAGGAGTAACTGGCATTCTAGCTAGCTTCTCAGGAGGATGCATGCAGCTACAAAGCAGGCAAGACACTGGAAAACAGTAATAGTTTGGTGAAGGAACAGTCAAAGTAGCCATACAGGAGATCAGGACTGGTGGAATTACTGTCATATGTATAGCATGAGAGCTCTGGTCTTTGTCAAAGCACAAAAATTGCAAGCTCTCAGACAAATGGCAGCCTGTCTCCTGGGCCAAGTGGTCTGCTCGCCGTTCATCAAACAAACATGAACTTTCCTACAGAGGAATTAGTGTCCAGCTGGGAAAAAAATCCCTTGGCCGTGGGATAACCTCAGCCAGCCCAGCCAACTTATTGCAACCAAGGAGCCTGCAGGCAGCTCCCACTTGGTAGCAGTGAGTGTGCCACCTGCGTGGCCTTAACTTTGTATAACAGTCCAGTGGCAAGTTCTCATGGACATCGTTTTTGTCTGGCAGCAGAAATGATGAATAGAAATGTTTCCTTTTAAGAAAATCCTGTAAGAGCTCAAAAGAGGATAACTCCAGGTAACATCTCCACAGATGGGATCTGCACCATGTGCTGTCCCTGCCTGGAGGACCATTCAATGCTGCATGATTCAGAGTTCCCAGAATCTGAAGGGATGTAACACCATCTACCATCTTTTTTCTTCCTGTGGTAGGTGCAGTAAATGGTATTTTAACCAATACCTTACAGAGTCTGAGTGCCTTTCTTACCGGGATCACAGGCCCAGTGCCCTGCACTGGTGCACTACACCCTTAGGATCTTATCTGCAGCCCAGTGCATTTGGTCTGTTCTCTTAAAATTTAAGACCTATGGTTCTGTGGTTATAAAGACCTTTACTAAAGTAAAAATTTGTCTATGGAGAAAAACCTGAGAAGAAAGTAATTTTGGAATTCCCTAGTCAAGTAAAATGTATTCCAAAACTGCATCTTTTAGAAGTCAGTATTATGACTTTTATTTATTTAACATGTGGAGGTGGCAGCACGGATACCACACTGTAGTTTATCACAGGAAGAGATATGCACTACTTGAAATCTCCCAGGCCTAACCTCTATTATATGGAAGCTACAGAAACATAGCAAAACTAAACAATAACTAAACACAAGCAAGGTCCCTAAAACTTACTGTATAATCTCCTGAGTTGATAGAAAGAGCAAGAAAGCAAGCAATACAACTCAGAACAGTTATTTTGGGTGGTGGAGGAGGGGGAGAATCAATTAGCTTGCTTCAAAAGGAACTAAGTTCTATGGGGCTCAAATAATTCAAAAATCTCTTATTCACTTATTTTAGATGACATAGTCAGTAGATCTGTTAGGTCCACTATCATAAATCATGGGAAGTTTTTCTGCATGAATAAAGCTTAAACCTAACACACAGATTCAAGAGACTGGATTTTTAATTTAAGAAAACAAACATTTGTCAGCTTAAGTATTCAGTATCTCATTCAATAAAGAAGGAATTATTTTATATCCAGATTTAAAAAAAAAAAAAAAAAGATCAAAAGTAGTAACTGTGCTGGTTTTGGCTGGGGTAAAGTTAATTTTCTTCACAGTAGCTGGTATGGAGCTATGGTCTGGATTTGTGCTGGAAACAGGGTTGATAACCCAGGAATGTTTTCGTCACTGCTGAGCAGCGCTGACACAGAGCCAAGGCCTTTTCTATTCCTCACCCCACCACAACAGCAAAGAGGCTGGGGGGGCCACAAGAAGCTGGGAGGGGCCACGGCCAGGACATCTGACCCCAGCTGACCAAAGGGATGTCCCGCACCATACGATGTCATGCTCAGCCCATAAAGCTGGGGGAAGAAGAAGGAGAACACAGGGGGGACATTGGGAGCGATGGCGTTTGTCTTCCCAAGTCACCGTTACGCATGGTGGAGCCCTGCTTTCCTGGGGATGGCTGAGCACCTGCCTGCCCATGGGAAGCAGGGAATGAATTCCTTGCTTTGCTTTGCTCGCATGTGCGGCTTTTGCTTTGCTTATTAAAACTGTCCTTATCTCAACCCATAAGTTTTCTTATTTTTACTCTTCCAATTCTTCTCCCCCATCCCACTGGGGGAGTGAGTGAGTGGCTGCATGGGGCTTAGCTTCTGGATGGGGTTAAAACAAAGCAGTAATTCAAAAGGAATCTGTAGCTTTTTCAAGCTAGAAGTTATGCAGTGCCTGAGGATATGTTGTGCATTTCAGAGCTGTTTAATAAAAAAAGTGAGGGAAAAAGTGTTTAGAAACTTTAGCCAACCTAACCTTTTCATTCATTATTATCAGAAGTGAAATTTTAATTTTTGTGCCAATTTATCAAAGAGCAACTTTCTTTGATGAAAGAATGCATTTTAATAGTTTAAAATCCAAACCCCACTAATTGTTAGAAATGTGTCAGTCAGGTGGAGAGCTGACAAACATCTTCATTATACCTGGGAAAATGAAGGAAAAAGAGACAGAAAGATTTTTTTTTTTAAGAGCATCAGATTGAATCTATAAGTATAAATTATGAAAACTGTATGCTTCAGATACTTGTTGGAGAACTTAGTGGTAAGAAAGAAAACAGAATACATTTCAAGATGTTCAAAACTATAACAAGCAATATAAAAAAAGATGACTAGAAAATCTGCTAGCTAAAAAAGCAAACAAATATAAATAAGCATTGGAACAATTTATTTCTATGTGTTTGTGAGTGTTAACACATGCAGAGGCTGGGAGAAGGACTGCATCATTTCTTTGACAACAAGGGCCTTGTTGTTAGGGCCAAAAGAAGATGTAGGTGCCTATCCATACCTGGCGGCATTTAGTTAGCTAAATTTCAAAATGAGAAACAGAAATCCATGCTCTGCTGTCGCTTTATCAGGAACATGCTGAAAGTTCGTAACTGCTGCAGTTACCGCAACTGGTTTTTTTCCAGGAGAGTTTTATACATAATTAACATCATCCTTTTGTGTGCGCCTTGGATTGTTTAGCTTGACTCAGTAGATAGCCGTTTCATGTAAAACATATTTTGTGGGAATCAGCACACACTGTTCTGCTACTGGTCTCATCAATTCTGCAGAGAGATAAAATAATCTCCCTTTTCCTCTTGACACCTCCTGTGTATTCATCCAAAGACTATTGACCTATTTTGGCACAATATACAGCTTGTTATGCTCAACTGCAGGTCTTCTGTAAACCTATTAAGAATCATTGCTCTCTATGATACAGTTCCCTTTCTTTGCAGGAATGTCCTTCCCCCTCTTCTTGCATGTGCTGCTGTGCTTTTGTTCACACCAAGACACCTTCTTCAAACCAGTTCAGATTGTTCAAACAGTTTATATAGTGGTACACGTGTTGTATTTTCCCCCCTCTCACCCCACTTCTTAATCAAATAAGCAATGACAGAAGCGTGACAATCACAGATTTCACATTTACTGCCAGGACAATGATGAAGGCAGTGAATATCTTCAGGTCTGCCACTGGTACTTGTGAAACCTGCCTGCAGACCGACCTGGTTTTCTCAGTGACAGCGATGTGGAGCTGTCAGTGTAAAGTCTGCTTTGCAGTGGCTGCCTGTTCTCCTGATATCTTGTAACGCCCTTTTGTTGGCACGGGTGAGCTACGCTTCTTAGTTATCAGACTGTTTCCTGCTTTTTAATCTGACATTCATTAAAACCTCTATTTTCAGAAGTACTAACCTCCTTTAACTTCCCACTTCTTTCAAATTCAGTTGCAGGTGACTGAAAAAAAATCAAGCTTTTGCTGCAGTCTTAAAAACTGGTGGGCGTTTAACTTCAAGCAGATCCAGCAACAGTCAATTTAGTGTAATTGTTGTAAACAAACAAAGAAATGTGAAATGAACTTACCGGTAGGAAAAAACAGTTGTTTTGTATACACCACCGTGTCTGATTACTCGAATTAGGAAAACTTGCATTTGATGAATTAAGAACTGAGGGAAAAGCTTTCACAGCATTATCCAGGAAAAACTAGAGAAAAACAACATATAATCCATTAGCTTGTCAGCTGTTTAAGGTCAAAACAGAGAAGAGAAATGGAGAAGCGGAGAAAGCCTTGCCAGTAATCATTTAGCTTTGGTATTTCACTGCAAATTGAAATAGAAAAGGGAAAATGACATCACTTGATTACTTGTTCCTGCATGCTCAGACAAAAACAACTTTGTTAACCTTCATCTGACACTTTCCGTTTGAATAAAAGACGAAAGGCTTTTTGTTACATTACTTTCATATATCAGAAGCTCACACACACGAGAGACAATGATGAAATAAATTCAGTATGAATAACTCCTGGGTTTACCTCAACTGAACCTCCTGTTTAAACACAGGAAGAATTAAAGAAAGAATAAGAAGTCTTTACTGAAGTTGATTTACACAGATGCAATCCTTCTCATAATAATGATGATGATAACATTGGTACTAATGTTATTGAAATAGAGGAGTGGAACCAGTATCTCCTGGGTCATCAAATTCAGCCAGCTGATGTCACAGGTAACCACCATCATACAATACCCTTTGATGTATTGATCCAGCACTTTCTTAATGAGTTAGATTTGACTACATTAATTCCACTGCTTTGAATCTCACCACTTAAAACTGTTTCTAAGTTTAACCAGTATACATGGCCTGTTCCCATGTTCTTTTTTTTTTTCCTGTGCTAATCTCATCCTTTAGCTTTCAGATAGCTCCCTTCTCTCCTTCGTATTTATGTTGCCAATATTTAATGACATCTCAGCCTTCACTATGCTCAGCAATCTGTGTTTTTCTAGTTTCTTCCCAGAAAACAAGCTCTTCACTGCCCTGATCATTCTAGCAGTTGCCCTCTGTACATACCTCTTTCAATTCAACCTTCTGGGTGACCAAAACTGCAAACACACTTCCCAGATTTTATCAGTGAGTCGTGCAATAGCATTAATACTAATTCTGCAGAAAATATGTTTTCATACATCCTAGAATGACAGGTCCTTTGCTCACAGCTACAAAACCTTAATAGCTCACTGCACCTCATGCAAGTGGGGCTCAGGCAGATCATGGTGTTACAGCAGCTTCACGCATTGCTGCACATTGACATAATCCCAGCCACTGACATCATGCTCAGCAAATGTGAGGTAGTTTTCCTTCATTTGGACTCACTTAGGTAAATGTGGTTTATACTTACCTTGAGGTAAGAGCAGTGACATGGATTGTTGTTGTGATTCAGTGAGTTATCATCAAACCCACATATTTAAAATCCTGAACTCACTGCATCTCCATTTCATGAGCTTCCAACTTGTATCAGAATTTCTCGTCACTGCTCTGTCAGACCAAGCATAATCTTGTACTCTGCACTACTAAATTTCATCCTAGTTCTTTTACTCAAATCCTCAGCTGACTTTTTACTTTCTAAAATCCCAAGCTTTCCCTCACAGACATTGTCTGTCCCCTTAATTTCAATAGCAAATTTCAGTCCCTCTCATACACTGTATATGAAAATCCATACTGGGTTGACCACTGCAGAGCACCAGAGGTTGCCTCCCTCTCACCCGTTGTTCTCTGCAGGTAGCCAGTTTGTAATCCACCACTAAATTCTTTCCCCAACCCCATCTTCACCTACTGCCCTGGAGAAAAACTGTTCCAGTTTCACTCAGAGTAACCAAATGTGGATCAAAATGGTTTATGGATTTACTAACTAGCACTAGATCTGGTCAGCCACAGCTCTGTATAGCCAAGCCTTGAAAATTTCTGAGGATGGAGACCCCAAAACCCCCTTGGCTGCATGTCCCAGCGCTGTACTACATAAACAGTGACTTTTTTTTCCTTTTTAAAGACTATCCAACCTCCCAAGCCACCACCCGTGGTCAGTGCCCCTTGATATGTTTTGTGGCACTGTTGGGAAGAGTTTGAAGCCATTGTCTCTGCAACACCCCTTGCAGGCTTGTGAAGGTGATTGATATACCACCTCCTTTACAAGACTGCTTTACAAGAAGCTGGCACTCACAGTTGGCTTGTACAGTTGCACTTTCAGGTTGTCTTCCTTCACTAACATGCTTCTCTGACTGCTTATGCGCAACTATACACGATTAACCCGCAATCAGTGAACTATGCATTCAGGATCAGTATCGGTAATACAACAGATAAACCGCAAAACCAAACCCTAAGAAATGTTAATAAACACCTACAGATTTTGAAACACCCTTCTATAACTGATCCCAAAGAGCTCTAATCACGCGCACACACACACACAGAGTTATGTGCACATCTGCCCCTTCTCACAGGATGCGTGCGTTAAATGCACACCCTCCCTCTTCTGGGAGTGTGGGTTACCCTACTCGCACACCCCTCCTGTAAGGAGATGTGGGTGCTCTAGCTTTATGGGCACCTGTGCAACTCCTATAAACTGTTGCTGCACACGCTAGTGAGAAAGCGCCCTGCGAGTTCATGCTCACAGGCACACCTGAGGTCTGGGTCCCCGCTTGTCACAGCCCGCACCGCTGCCCACCCACGTTGCAGCTCACAGTATCTGACAACTTTAAGTATTTAATACCCCTCCCTGCCCCCAACTATTTAAACTCACATTCTCATCTTAATAGGTGTTGTTAACCAGGTCATTTGCCAAGGATGGGCAAAGAGAGTCCCCACATGCCACTAACAGTGCATTTACTTTTTTTGCAAACATGAAATAACTGTATTTAGTTGCAGAATACCATCTCACACACATCCACAGAGCAAAAGATTCTATACCATGAAGAACTCAAACACAATTATATTATATAAACATGTATGTGCATATATATTTATGTATGTATTAATTTCTATTAAAGCATTTTAATTTTGGTTTTGAGCTTTGTAGAGGGCATTTCTGACCTATAAGTGTTACCTGATATGCAGAATGCTATATGAAATGTGCTATATCTGTGAATACATAAATAAATATAGAAAGGGGGAAAAAAAAGGATATGGAAATGTTGTCATCTCCCATGAGCCAAACAACACTTATTTCTGAATGATGTGTTTGTACTTGTCTTTCTTGTCTCTCATCAGTTATCTACCTCTGCTATCACGCTTTGGAGATATATATTGTTCTTCAACATAGTATTTTTTTGTAAGAGACAGCTCAGTCCTACTAAGCAGTCACACCTACTCAAATGACTCAAATGAAAGCAATATTTTTTATGAATACCAATGTTTGCCAGGGAACATCTGAGCAGACTACCATTAAATTCTCATTTTATCTTCATATATTCTTACAGCTTTTTCTTTTCCCCTGTTCGTATAATCTGCAATCTTCAGCTGTGAGTTTTTTGCCTCACATGATGAAAATACCTGCTGTGTTGCTATTTTCTTCAATAGGAGCCATGTGGTGACAGACCCTCACCCCACAACATGGGATAAGCAAGTTAGTGCATCTCTCTTGTTATCTGACCAAGAATCTGAAAAATAATACTAAATGATACACTAATTTAGTTCTTACTAAAAAAAAAGCCAACTTTCTCACCAAGGTACTTTCAACCCTTCTCTACAATCCACAAGGCACCAGAACCAAGGCATCAGAATGAACACGGTCCGATAGCCTGTAAACATGGCCAAGTTGAATGGGTTGTATTTCACCTTGCTCAGCAAGCAGGCTTGCTGATTTCCATTGTTAATGTGCATAAAATAGCACCCTCCTGAGAAGAAGAAAAGGTGGCAGAGTTTAATATTAAGTGCACTAATCAAATGCACAGTGAATTAAACAATTATAGTATAAACAATAAAATGTGTAAAGTTTTAATAGTTACTGTGTGAATGGGTTGACCCCGTGACAGGTGGGCAGAACGGAGAGAGCTGGGAAATGCCCCCCCATTGAACTACTAAGTCACAGAGTAAAAGGCAAAATTAATTGATTCAGGTGCCACAGATAGTTCAGCTGTGATCATCAACCTGTGGTAGCGCGTCATGCAGTAGCCATATGTAAAGACAAATACTAACACCATTTTCTGTGCAAGAAGGCGGCATAGGCCACCCTCATAACACTAACAAGTGCCCTTTTGCACACTGGCAAGAAGCTCCGCAGCCAGAGGCAAGCTCTTTAGGAAGTAGGTGCTCCAGGATCAGCAGCTCCAGAGCAGAGCTGTGCTTAATCAGTGGAAACACAAAAACAGGAAAAACAAAAGGTCTGGCATGCTGCCAAAAATGCAGCTCAGTTGAATTTATAGCTTATGTTTAATTTGATCCCATCATTGTTTTCTCGTCCTTATTACACAACATTACACTGGAAATGGACATGTGAAGACTTATAAAGTATAAACCCCATTTTTATCACTGTCCCTCTCCCTGCTACCTCCTTGCCTCATATGAACATGTAACTATACTTTAAATTAATTTTCTGCTCTTCCAGAAGAGCTATGCAATCTCAAGACACAATGGTCTACAGTTTTTATAGTGCTATTGTAAACCGATTTGTTCGTGTTTGTGCCCTACTCTTCTGTTCAGCAAAGGACAGATTGAGAAGAGTATACTTTTAAGTATGGCAGAAGCCTGGTATCGTAGGCTAAACTAGAGGATTTAGATTTTTCTTAACACAAAAAAAATAAAGCAATGATGCTTTTGTTCAGCATTGCTCTTTTGTTTGAACCTCTAAGGCAAACATGCAGGATTCCTCTTCTTTCTCTTTTTTTTTAATTTTTCTACCAATTCTCCAAAATATCCATATCCATGTGGCTTAGGAGAACTTTCTTCTGAAAATGCGTATCACTGCCTCCTTTGAAAAATGCCAGTTAGTGTGGCAGCTGAGTCAGGAATTTATCCCTGGATCCCCACATGAATGCCCCAAGAATAATATGGACAGTCCTGAATTCTGGTATTGTACCTCATCTTCACAAGCTCATAAGCAGAAGTTTAAGAAGAGCCTGAGATGCTAAGTACCCACCTAGACTATTAAGCATTTTTTGAATGAACAAGAGGTGATGCTGAGATATCAGTGAGTTGGAAAAGGATGATGAAGATCCAGAGAGTACTGCACTGCACTGAATAGGATTTTTAAAGCATTTTGTTTGTACAAGGCTTCTTAGCTTCAGAGTCTTCATGCATCTATGTTATTTAGTGTCCTGTGGTGTGTCTCTTGTTAATAGTCAAACGTACCAAATTCAAGTTGCTCAATAATTTAATTTCATTTTTTATAGAAGTTTGTGGGCCCAGTGAAATTGCATACCTATCTACGTGTTCCCATGTATTCAAGTCCCAGCCTCCCTGCAGAGGCAATATGCAGTGGCAAGCAACTGTCTTGTTCAAAGCTCCCAGCAGCATTAGGTAAGAGAGATGAGGAGCCTGCCTGGCCTTTACAGACTCAGATACCATTGTGGTATTTGATAGATATGGAGTGATGCTCACTTATACAGATTCATCTTTGCTGGACTGTGGAGCAGACGATCACGTGACAGCATGACCTTCTCTCCCCACACACTTGAAAGACACCAGAACTGCTGTAAACATTATTTCAGGATGGTATCTCACCTGCTAGTGCATCTCTGCTAGGCCAGTGTACCTAGACTGATAAGTTTCTTAAATCCTATCTATAATCTGGAATGGATTTGTGATGGGGCCCTGCATGTACCACTTAAATGACATCACTGCAGCTGTGCATTCCCCTTTCTCCTTCCAACTCCTAGGCCAGGTCAAGCTCTGGCAGCGTCTGTTTATATTTCTTAGAAGAAATGCATTAGCCACCCTCCAAAACAGGGTCTTCAATGTGCTAGGCACTGTGGGGACATGTAACTAAGAGCGTATCTGCCAAAGAGCCTGCCTATTAAAAATACAGCACTGATCAAGGTCAGCAACTCTATTTAACAGAGTTCGTTGCACTAAAAGGAAGGTATGTTAAAGAAACCAACTCTATTTGTCATTATTAAAGCACAGGATACCAGCCATGACTAGACAGAGAACAATATGGGGCCAGTACTTGCATCATGTAAGGCAGCTCGTGTTCACAGACGTACATTAAACAATGGAGCAAAAATACTCAAACCTTTGTCAGTCTTTACATTTCTAAACAAGTGTTCTTTCAATGGAAGTAGTTCAGTTGTTCAAAATTCACTGGAAAAAAAGACAGGAAAGCAAGTAACATCCAGAGAAGGTCCACAAAAATGATCCGAGGGCTGGAGCACCTCTCCTATGAGGGCAGGCTGAGAGAGTTGGGCTTGTTCAGCCTGGAGAAGAGACGGCTGCGGGGAGACCTGATTGCAGCTTTTCAGTACTTAAAGGGGGCTTGTAAGAAAGATGGGCACAGACTTCTTAGTAGGGCCTGTAGCAATAGGACAAGGGCTAATGGTTTTACACTAGAAGAGGGTAGATTCAGACTAGATATAAGGAAGAAATTTTTCACAATTAGGGTGGTGAAACATGGGCACAGGTTGCCCAGAGAGGTGGTAGATGCCTCATCCCTGGTAACATTCAAGGGCAGGTTGGATGGGGCAACCTGATCTCGTTGAAGATGTCCCTGCTCATTGCAGGGGGTTGGACTAGATGGCATTTAAAGGTCCCTTCCAACCCAAACTGTCCTATGATTCTGTGATCCTGAATCTGAAAGCTAGTAGTCAGAGCACCTTCCTGGGACAGTATAGCCCTGAGATCCTGTTGCTGTGTCAAGAACCATGCATGCATTTGATGCAGAAGTCACTGAAAGAAAGACCTGTTTCAGGTCTCTTTCATCATGCCATGTTTCCCTAAATCACACGAATCCCAGAGGATGGTCAGGTACAGTTATCTGATGTATTGCATACAGCCATTCATTCAGCTTCCAAGAATCAACCCTTTGCAGTCAGGCAGTCCTACTGTCCTACTGTCTCTCTGAGATGTCTGGATTGTTCCCTGCAATGTACTTTCTCGTGTTTGGTTTACTGCAGGTCAGCTTTGCAAAACCAATTTTACTCAGCCATTGATTGTTGCCCTACTCTATATATGGCACCAGATCTAATGCTCAATGGAAGCAGCATTAGTCACCCTCTCCCTTCACCTAAGAAGCATTTGATACTTATGTCACATTAGCTGTTTTTTAACTTCCCTCCACCAATCAAGACTATATACTTCTCAAACATGAAGACTAGATTCAGATGTCTGCTGAAACAGCTAATTTGAAATAAAATTGCACCCCCACTCTTTTCTAATGTCCCTTGACCATAAAGACTGAATTTTATTTGACATTTTGGTCTTAATTATGATTTATTAGTTGTGGGACGGTTAGACGCTTTTTATCTCCATTAAATCTTAATGGCTACATTTTGCCTTTTTCTCCTGAAAGAGTTCATGGAAATAAATGCAGTTAATGGACTCTGCTATTAAGTACGTGTTGCTTGGAGATATAATAATGATACTTCAGAGTCTCTCCCACAATTTGCTATTAATATTAAGGAAATGCAAATTTCACAATCACATTTAAAGTCATTTTTGCTAGTCAAACTATTAAGGTTTAGTTTCAAGGTGGGAATTGTACTTAAAATTATCATCTCATGAATATCATGGAACATGATTATTTGTAATACTGCAGTCATTACTGATAAGGCACAAAGAGTTTAAAATACAGCCTATTAAGTTTTACTGTAACATTCAGTCCACAGAAAAGTGGACTTGAACCAATAAAACTAAAAACTTTTTCTAAAAATGAGGTACTGAACAACTGCTTTTCTACCAAAATGTCTTTCAGTAGTTGAAGGCCAAATTTGAAGTGGGCTGTACATAATAGTAGAACTTCAGTCTAAGGAAAAACCAGTTGCTGGTCATATCTTCTTTTACACTTAAAGTATACTTGAAGTATGCTTTAAACCCAAGTAGGTTATTTCATTCATCTTACACATTTTTATAGTTCAAAACAAGAGACAGTCTAATCTGACCTACATTTTACAAGCTACTCCATCTCTGGGTTTTGTATTGTAGTATGCCAAAAAACTTTGCTTGGCTTAACATTATCATTCATATAGTCTTCAGCTGAGGACAAGAAGTGATGGAGAATCAATTTTTCAGAATAATTTGTTCCCATTGCTAACTGCCTTCACTGCTAAAAAGTGAGCTTATTTTCTCATTTTCCAGCCACTGCTTCTTTGAGTTTTTCCTCTACCAGCCTTAAACACCAAATTCAATTAGCTGAATTTTAAATTCTTGAACATGGACGTGTTTTTGAGTCTAACTCCTCTCCTTAAAAAAAGCAAGAGAAGGGAAGGAAAATACCGACTTTCCTGAAAAGAAAAAAAACAAACCCAAGACTAGGATCATTTAATAGAAAAAATGGAAAGAAGGTTCTACCAGAAATTTCAAGTGTTCCCATTTAAAAGCCCACATTACATCACTCTGACAAGCTTAGTACTTACTGTAACAAATGATTGACTAAGGGTCCCCTGAAATGTTGTGGGAAAGGAAAATAAACAGTGTAGGTATTAGCAATCTTTAAGTCCTTCATGAACCTCAAGCAACATAAGTGCTAGCAACTCAAGGAAATGCTAGAGTTGCAATTTCAAAAGCACTGAAGTGCAAATCTCACTCACTTGAAATGTGACTAATATCTATGCATTAATGATGTAATGAAAACAAATGTAAGTAATAAACCCAAACTAAATAAATATTACAGTTCCCCTTTTGCAGATACAGAACTGAGCTGGAGCACCTTCATGGTTTTATGAATGGAACCGGGCTCAGCCAATAGGGCAAAATAAAGGAAGTTTTTTGATCCCATATCCTGCTCATCCCATTAGAGATCATGTCTTTCAGAATAAATGAGGATGTTAAGATTCAGGCTTTATGCAGACTAATGACAGATCTACTCTGTATTTGCTATAATTACAAAAGAAAAATAGAATTACATGGATTTTCCCTATTAGGAGAGAAAAGAAAAGCACAGGTGGAAATGTCTAAAGTAGAGGTAAGCCCTAACAAACTTGTAGTTCAGTACTTTTGAAGTTTCAATGTAACTTTGATTTTTTTTTCTTTTTCAAAGAAAAAAAAAGACAAGCACATGAAATTCAATGATGTATATATTATGATCATTTTGTGATCAGCAGAGGAGCATCACAAATCTGAATAAAGCTTAGTTTGTTTCAGTCAAAGTCTTCCACACATCCTGTGAGGAGATACTTCATTCTTTAAGAAATACTCTGTTTTTTCTAAGCAATGCAGAAGAGCAAAGGATTTGAACAATTCAGACGTGGGATTTAACTATCTTTTATTCCTTATAAATTACATTTTTCTGTAATAAACTTAGCCAAGATCCAAACCCTTGCTGAGCATGCTGTTTGCAGAGGTCCTCATTACACAGTATGTTTTCTGTTGCTCTGCTTTACATTTCTGTCTCTGGCAATCACTGTCACATATGTTCCTGGCATAGCCATGGGCCATAAATTTGACATCTAAACAAATACTGAACAACAACAACAAAAAGATCTTAAAAGAACAAAAAATCCAAGGAAAATTACCCCTTTTTCTCTTACCATGTTGAATACAGCCATAGTTAATATTATAGCAGTGGTTGTCAATGTAAGAGTGATCCGTGGCCAAGGACGGTTTGCAATTATTCCAGATGATTTCAGGATCCACAACAATGAAGCTGATGCTTTCTTGCTGCATTGCTAAGTTCAAAGAGTTTAAAAAAGAGAAAATAAAAATAGCTTCAGTATATCTAATTACAATAAAAAAGGGAAGTATTAAGAAGGCTCAAGATTGAGGGCAGCATTAATCTTGAGACATTGTACAGAAGTATTCAACTATTATATTCTCATAGGAGTTACAGATCATGGTTATACATGAAACTAAATGCAAATTTAGTTAAAATAGCTGCCATAATATCAATTCTGTTAAATAATTATAATTTGCAAGCACCTTATTAAAAATTCAATGTATATTACTGATAATAGCAAATACAGAGTCGACAGCAGTGAAATTACCTCTAATATCAGTCAAAACCAAGAAAACCAACTGACCTCCCCCACCTCGACTGAAAGAGCAATATTTAGTGGCCTCTGGAAACTTCAAAATGTAAATAATGACTCTGCAAAGTCTTTGACAGAGAGACAGAGGTCTCCTCATGCAGGATAAAGGTTGTATACATAGATATATCCCTGGCACTCTACAAAATAGTGGGGTTTCTGGGTTTTTCTTTCATTTGTTTGGAGACTTGTTTGATAATTCATTTTAAGTGAAAGGTAAATCAGCAAAGCAAATCAGCCTTCCCTAAAACTATTTACAAAACAAATAAGCACTTCATACAACAATCAGGCTTACAATTTGACAGAAAGAATATTTAGTGAATAAAAAAATGTTCTTATTAGTGGCAAAAATTAACAATAAAAAAACCCTGACTCATTTAACCTCCTCCCAAGATCACACTGCAATACCCTCCACTGATACACGCATAGTGCCTAGAGGCACAAGATGCTCACACAGAATAACCAACAATTTGTGGCACATCCAATAAATATTAATTTTCCCAACACTTTAGCAATGAGGAGATAACGTTGCCTAGAAGCATCTTGTGGCCTTTCCAAATGTCAATTTTGGCTATACTGAAACCTCTAAAAAAGGCGATGAAAAGTTAAGGAACACGACAGTTCCACAAAAGTATTGGCTTTTTAGCCACTTGTTTTCTCTATTTACTTGATATTATCAGAGATCACCTTACATATTGTTTTCGCCCCAGCCACAGCAATCAACAGAGACACAAGCACAGGAATTCTCTGAAACGAGAAATCAAGCACTAAAAGCTACCAAATATAGGACTTAATTTACAGTATTTATCTACTAGTTCAGGTTCAATAGCTATGGCACATCATGCTAGACTACACTATTACCCAACACATATGATGTAGTTTACATGAAGGTCTTTGTCACACTGCACATAACTATTTCCCTCCCAATTACACACTACTTGGACAAGCCCACTGTATATCTAGAACTTTTTTTTACATAGTGTTTCCTTTTATGACAGGGAGTTTTGCATACTGGATTGGACAAATTCTGAGCAAATGAAGTCAGTTTCAGGAAGGCCAAAACAATAATCAGAATCTCAAGGATGGACATTAAAAAAAAAAGCCCACATAAACTCAAGGGATGTGCATTTTTGAGCAAGAAACTCCTCCTCAAATGCCTTTTTGAACTCCCGAACCTTGTTCTCCACTCCTAAGTACATAGCAAATTTCAAGATAATTTGAATCCACATGTACATTTTAGAAAAGATTTGTCATCCTTGCCACTTTAATAAAGAAGCACAAAGCCTAGATTGCCGCTGTTGATACAGAAGGGGAGCATTCAACTGGACGCAGGGAATGGATCTGTGTGAAAATGGTCATTCAGTTATCTGCCTAGTTTGCCTAAAACCCAATGAGTCTGGGAGCATGGATGAATGGCAAATTAAAAAAGTCATGAAAACATGCTTTAAATTACACTTTGCCTTTGTTATAGCACACCCGGAGCTTTACTACAGCAGTAAAATTCATAATAAAATATGTCTGGGTTAGGCCAGACAATTTATTTTCATCATTACCTTCTTTTCTTGGAATTTCTTATCCTAAAGACTACATTGTTCTGTGATTTTCTTGGAAGTTTAGAAGTAGCTGGAATAGTTTAAGTTGGATTAGGAACAAAACTAGGCAGGAGCACTGAGAAAGTACAAGGAATATAAAGTGGATAACAAATGATACAGATAAAGCAGAACATCTTCCCCTTTCTGAATTATGTTACAGGGAGCTATACAGTTCAAAGAAAGTCTTTAGGATAAGAAATTCCAAGAAAAGAAGCTAATGATGAAAATAATTATCTGGCCAAAACCAGATACGTTTTATTATGAATTTTACTGGTTTTAGGTTATCTGACTAAAGGCTAATCAAATGAAACACAAAGACCTGGTGATGATCAAAAGGACAATGATAGATGGTGGAACCAGAGTAACCTAATCAGTGAAGAACAGAAGCCACTGAATCTGCTGCTCCCAAGACCATCGAAGGAGAACGTCTCAGCCACATTTTCTGATAGGAAACCTACCAAGAAGCCTCAACTAAAAAAATCTCTTTCCAGGATGTCCTGCAGACTAAGAGCCATTAGTGCCTAAAAGGACAGTATGCTGGCACGGGGCAGATAGATAATTTTGCAATGAAGCAGAGGGAAACTTTGGATTGTGTAAAACATGTTTTAAGGGCCTTGTGCATATGTGGAAAACTTACAGGATGTTTAGGGGACAGGACAAATGTGGATCAGGGAGGAACAGGCGTAGGTAAATGGAGAAGAGAGGGGATGAAAGGAAATGGCTGCATGTAAACACTTGTCTGAATGAGTCTATTGCATATTCTTATTAAATCCTATCTCTAACCATCTTCTGTGGAAGTGCAGTCCTTATTCTGAGCCTGCATGCGTGCAAATGCTAGCGAACTTCATACTGGACTAGATGGCAAGTAGCACAGGACGGATGGCAGCCACTGGAAAGAGAGAAAGAGAGACAGATATCGCATGTCTGAGGGCTTGGGTGCCAGCACCTGAAGTGTCTCAGACCAGTCCCTGGGGAGACCCGTGGGGGGGCAAGTGTGTGTGTGTGTATGTAAACATTAGGAAACTTCAAGCTGCACTGGCTGGTAGATAGAAGATCTACATTTGCAGAGACCCAAGGTTTGAGCCAGTCACAGCATAAGGAGGGCAGAGGCTGGGCATGGATATTGTATCGACTTAAAGTCCATGCTGAGTGAGCGTGCCTGTGGATGGTGACAGTCAGGGTGTGCGTAAATCCCACTAGCAAACTTCAGCCCTGATCAGCCAGAAAGGAGGAACGCGACCATCAGCATTGCTCGTATTTACATGACTGTCGCTTGCTTTTATGTGGCTGCTGGTAAAAGAGCCGCTCTCTCTGCATATCTGTGCAGCTGGCCTTGTGTGTACGGCATACGCCTGTGTGCCGACTGGGAATATGAGCTCAGCCTCACTACTGGTTGTAACTGGGCCATGGTGCTGACAGCCCCCCATTGATGGGAGTGGGACACGAGGATCCCCTGGGTCATTACTTCCATCAGATTGGGCTCCAGTGGACCAGAAAGGAGCACTCCCCTGGCTCTCGAACTCCACTGGATTCAACAAGCTCTAGCAGATCCCACTTTCAGTTTCAGAACTGTAAAAAAACATGGCTTGGTAACAGATGCAAAACAATGTCACAAAAAAGATGCTTTCATGTTTTTCTAGTGCTAAGCAACATAAATTGATGGTTTCCTCTGCACAAATTAACAACTTGTGTTATGTTAATTCTGAAGATAAACTAAATTTCACACAGAAAATCTCTGTTAAATCCCGATATCTAAATACACAAATGTCGGTGTCAAATGATGGAGGCTTGTCAGACCTTTCTATACTAAAATCAACGCTTCCAATTGTTAAATTTGAACTCTCTTAATTTTTTTAAAGTAATCATTGAAAAAATTGCAGTATATAAATGCTGATATTACTTGGCAATGTCCATGCTGAGAACTGCATCTATTGCTGAGGACAATTTTATTGCTTTCCAAATACCTGTACACTTTTGAACAGACTTATGTACCTTCTGTACCAAAATTCCTTGCAATAATTCTGAATTTCCCTCGTATACAAGGCTTTTTTGATCAATATCACCTGACTTTGCTAATGTATTTTAGCAAGGAGGAACTAATTGGACTGATTTTCTACATTTATTTAAAAAGCTATTTTTCTGCTTCCATATAAATAAATAAATATGTGTATATATATGTTCTCTGGGCAAGTCTATCACTAGGAAAAGTTACGGAGAATAAAATAAATTTCAGGAAACAATACATCATTCAGCCAGTGTGATTAATCAATAAAGAGATTCCATTATTCCAGCTGGTATTGCTAAAATTACACATATTGCAGGCTCTGACCTGAAGAAAAATGTGTTCTTAGACTGCAGCTTCAAAAATGAAGCTGTAGGTAGTTATTTCCACTTGTAAAACAGAAGCACACCAGAACCCAGTGATACATTTCTTGACAGGCGGTTTAATGCACAGCTCTGAGTTCTGGAGGGGAAGGACCACTGTTTATTTGGTACATAGAGTCATGGAATCGTTTAGGTTGGAAAAGAACTTTACGATCATGAAGTCCAACCATTAACCTAACACTGCCATTCCACCAGTAAACCATGTCCTTAAGCAGAACATGTCCTATCAGACATCTGTCATGCCCACCTGGCTTGTTAAATAGATGAGGGGTCTCTCTAATAGCAGAGAGAGCAGCCTACATAGGTTAAGCCAATGAGGCACCCAAAAGAAAAATTCAGGACAAAACCCCGATCAACACTAAAAATCTTTAAACTATTCGAGTAGAAATTCCTTGGAAAACATGGTAGGATACACTGTCAATCAGTAATTCTCGATGTGAATTAACAGATTTGCTGAACTTCATTCCACTTTTGAGCAGTTTAAATCCAGTCCATATATTGTACAACTGCAGCCATTCAGTACTGCTGAACATTTAGGGAACTCCTGGAAGCAGAACTGGAGTGGTGGGGTGATCGTTAAGTTCAGATTCTTAATAGCACTGGCACAACTGTACAGGTTTATTTTGCTGATTCATTAGCTTGTCTAACACTTTTTCCTGTAAATGT